TCAGCTAAAACAACATTGATAGCTAAAATGAACAATAGCTAAATTAGTACCTAGACCGAGCGTCTTTCGCCGCTTCGAAAGAATAATAGCTATTTACCTTACAAGTGTAGTAAGAGCGTTTTTACATCACGCAGGTGAATGTTGTGCAACGAGCGGAAGCGAGTTGCATAATTTACCGAAGTGATGTAAACACGCTCTTGCGTAACGTGTAACGTACAAGATTTTACCTGACCCGACAATATATAGGTTACGAACAATATTTTTCATTATCCATTTCACTCATCTTCTAACAGTAACGTTCATTTACAAACAAAAGCTAGGTTAGGAAAATTCTTCAAAACATAACAATAAAATTCAAGCGCACAGCTGATTTCTAGCGTTGAAAGTCGTTGGCTCCATAGAGGTATATTTTTTAAGTTAAGCACTCAATGTTATTTAAATGGGTTTCATTACATCACCGAGTGAGTTTTTTTCAACTTTACATCACTCGAGAAGAAACGAAGTTATATACATCACGCTTGGGATAGGGAAGTTTAACATGGCGGGTTAGGTAAAGTAATAAACATGCAGCTGATTGGAACATATTGAAATTGATTAACCGAGTTAGTTAATTTTTAAATCAACAGAATGCAGCACACATTTTTTTGGAATGTTCAGAATTAATTCCAAAATTATGGTTAAAAATACTAGTTTTGATAGATTTTTGAGTAAAGGAAAGCGTTTTTATTTATAAAAAACAATGCTAATGATAACATACCTGCTATGTATATTAAGGCCATATTTTCATTTTCAGACGTTTCATATTTCTTAACATCATCTTCTACATTGCAGTCTAATAATGCTGACTCATCTTTTTTTTTTTTTTTTTTTTTTTTAAAAAAAGAGGTTGGCGGCCTCTTTTAACCTTGCATTTGCCCGTCCACATAGACTACAGATCTGTGCGTGGAACGTATTCAGCAAAGCAAGGGGTGAGCCGGTACAGTACAAAGGTGAACTGTACTGATAAAATGTTTGTGGCAGTGACCAGGATCCGAACCCACGACACTTCTGCCTTGGGCCCAAAGTCCGTGACGCTACCAACTGAGCCACCGACTCACCTAAATCCTAAATCTTCTAATTCATCCGTGAATTACTCGTTCTCTCGACTATTTTCCAGACACAATTGCTTGATAGAAAACTCCCCTGCTTGTGATGACTTTAATTTAAGCAAAGACACCGCTTTGAGTTTTTTCTCAGACTCCAGAAGTTCCGTTAAGGTAATATGATAATTGCCACCGCTCAATTGGCGTTATTGGCCAAACCTTTCCTCTATTTCGTCATTTTGAAATTTACCTAATAGCACGTACTGCAGAGTCTTTGTTTGCAAAAGATGTTTGCACATTGCTACTAAGGTCGGTGTAGTGTGGTTCAGAGAAAATTGAGTCTCATTACTAAGTTTGCCACAAAAGCTACCTTGTTTTTTTTTTCTCACCGGCCGAGTCGAAAGAAGACCACTGAACAAAACTGTCTAAAAACACGATAGCTGCATCTTCTTCACTCTTTATTGGCTGTTTAAAAACATCTCTTGATTTTATTCCAATGGTTGTGCTTTTCGTATTTACAATTTTCCACCAATTTAATACTACTTTTATTAGCTGGCAGGTTCCGTTTGCTTCTTCTTTAAATAATACTTTAAGAGCAGATACATTATTTCATCAAAAAACTTTGTACACAAAGCAACATTTTGACGTTCTATATTGCTCAGATAAAGTACTTTTTGGGAAAGTGCAGGAGCCAATTTCACTACATTATTCTGTTCGAAATTGTAAACTTCCTTTAAAAAACATACAATTTTGAGGATAAATCAATGTGTTTGGGTCCTGTTCTGTGGATTTTGATTTAACAGAATCTCGGGCTCAGGAAACTTAAATGTTTGTTGCGAATCATGCTGATTCAACCAGTTGTTGCGTATGCACTTAAATATATTAATTAATTATGTCCGACTGAACAAAGTGGTCTTCGCAAATAACAGATTTCTTTGTTAGTTCAAAATTATCCCGATGAATACATCTAACCCATTTCTGCCTTAAAGCTGTGTCTGATGGAGTGATCAGCTGGCTCGTGGCACCGGGCTACTCCGGCTCAGGTCGCGACCATACTTCGATGGTCGCGACAAGTCAGACTCCGCTCGTGACGTCACAGCGGAGGCGGGAAAAAGCCTGCCGGCCTGTAGTTTACGTTGGCCCCGGTATGGTGGTCTGGATGCTTACTATGGTCTCGACTGGTTGTATAGTTTCATCACCATTATTTTCTTCAGCCCATTATAAAATAAGTTTTCAAAAAACTTTACATCTCTAGAATAAATCAATCTACGGGGAGACTTAGGATCGACCAATTTGTAACCTTTGACATCCTCACTGTAACCTACAAAAATGTGAGGAACACTCTTATAGTCCAATTTGGTCCTTTTCTCCTTAGGCACATGCACATAGCCTATGCACATAAAAACTCTAAGGTGACTGAGGTCCACTTTCGATCCAGTCCATTTCTCCTGTGGCGTGACTCCAAAAACAGCTTTTGTAGGACTTCGGTTCTTAAGATAAATAGCTGCCACCACAGCATACTGCCAGTAACCCTTGCACAAATTTGAGTCACTTAGCATGCTTCTGGCCTTTTCAATAATAGTTCTATTTGCACACTCTGCTACCCCATTCTGCTCAGGACTATATCGAGTAGTGACCTGGTGCCTTATACCAAATCTATTACACACTCCTTCTAGTCTCGCATTCATGTACTTCATCTGACCTAACAGTTTTTATAGGCTTGTTGGTCTGATTTTCAACTAAAGTCTTAAACTTGAGAAAACAATCAACTACTTCATCCTTTGATTTCAAGAAATAACCAAAGGTCATTCTGGTGAAGTCATCAATAAATATTAGCATGAAGCGATTACCTTGAAGAGACTGAACATTCATAGGCCCACAGACATCAGTATGGATTAACTCTAGTTTTGTCTCAGCTCTCTTACTTGGAGTGGTTGGGAAAGATTCTCTGGAGTGTTTCCCCTCCACACAGGGAATGCATGGTTCTGGCCTTTGACTAGGAAAATCAACACCCAAAGCCATCCCCTTTTTCAAAACACCCATGCTAACATGATTCAAGTGACCCAACCTTCTGTGCCATAAATTGTGAAGGTCCACAGTCCACACTAACTGACTGGTCAACTTGAGTAGACATAGCTAAATTTCCATCGTTTGGATCAATGTTGCATTTACTCTCTGTATCCAACCGATACAGTCCATTTACATTTGTTCCAGTTCCACAAATTTCACCTCTTACTGAAAACCCATCTTTTATGTAAATATTACATCCTTTGTCATCAAAAACTAAAACTTGCCCTTTACTAGCTATTTTGCTCACAGATATCAAATTTGTAGACAAATCTGGTACATACCTCACATTCGATATCACTCTCTCACCAAAGTTTTTAAGATTCACAGAAACTTTCCCAGAACCCGCAGAGTAAATTTTGGTATTATTAGCGACAGTGGCCTCTTTAACTCCCTCATTCGAGTTAAACGTTTGAAAACTTTCTTTACTTTTAGAAAGATTGTCAGAACAACACGAGTCTAAGTACCAGGTCTAAGTTTCAGGTTCTACCTTTACAGTCAGAGCAGTTATCCAACTTACATTTTTATTTTTGTTTTGACCATCTGACTTACCAATTTTGGAAATTGACCCTATCTTATTTTCCTTTATTGTTTGGGTGAAGTGGTAGAACATAATGGCTATGGTAGATGTGTAATACCATTAATATACCGTCAATTTAAAGAAGCAAATTTTATCAAACTTTGTCCTCCCTATTGCAAACGCAAAGCTTGAGTATAACTGCAATAAGCATTTTAAACTTATATGCCAACCCCATACGAAGGACGGGTACTCTGCTAGTTCTCCATAAGAATAACATGGGAATTTTAAATTTACAGTTTTTTGGAATTTTCTCTGTAACCATTAGGCGCATAATAACGCTTCAATATACTAAATTATTTGTGTTTTAAGCTCTACAAAATAGTTTGGAAAGAAAATGCTAAATTTTAAGTTTTTAGGGTCAAAAATGGGAAAAACCAATTTTTGCCCCATAAAACCCCCCATAAACCCCTGTTCCCATATTCCAATCATGCTGGTTAGCGAACTCGTTAGAATAAACGTAGGTTTACACGTTTGTACCAAATTGAATCAAAATCGGATGATTTTTGCGCTAACGGACACATATATAAATATATAAAAATATTAATAAATAATACACCGTAGTAGGCCTACCCTTTTTTAAATTATTTTTAATGACTGAAGCATTTCAACACTAAGGTCATGGTCACAGTCTTTCGCCATATATATGAATTTGAACGGATGGTGTTTTTGGTCTCTAGGGACCTCAAAACGAAAAAGTAAATCGGTCCCGGGTCCAGGTCTTACCATGACTACTACAGTAATAGCTTATTCCCTATAGGGGAAATTCGCTAAATCACTGTTTATCCACTGGCAATTAAGTAAAATATTCTATTTTTATTTTTGGTATACCCTTTGTTATTCATCGAATAGAACAAATTACCATTTAAAATAATAGTTGTTAAGCGCAGCAATGCGCGCCGAGTAACTGCTAGTACTAATATAAATCAATATCCAGGAGTGGGAAAATTAATTCCAATTTAGAAAACTTGTAAACATATTTAACTGAGGTTTAGAAATCTAATTTTCATTTCACAAGTAATCTACTGACCGACTCTTTACAGCTTCAACGGTTCAAACCTTAAACACCTGTGATTATTGACAAATTCAGGAAACACCTTGCACTCACGATTGAGATACTTTGAGTATTATAACAATGATAAGGCTTCTAGGGGTATCAGAATTTGTTTTAATTTATCACAAGTACACAAATTAAGAATTATAAATGTAAATGATCAATATCAATAAAACCTTAAATTACAATAATGTACAACAATATTTAGCCTAAAGTAGCTTTAGTCATCATCACTTCCCCCACCACTACCACTGTCACCCCCCTCTCCCTCCCCTCCACTGCCACTGCTCTTCCCCCCCTCTGATCCCTCAGAGTCAGACGCAGCTGTACCTTCTCCCTCTGCATCACCACTACCTTCTTCATCCGAGTCCAGAGCTTTTAGAGCCTTAGCTTTGTCTATCTTCTTTGCACGTCTCGTATCCAAATCAGACCCGTCCTCATCAGAAGAGTATATATTTCTCTTGTTTTCACCTGAAAGGATCGCTTGGTTAAACACATACTACTTAGTACCTGAAATTAAATTTGAGCATGATTTCAGTGTGTTATCTGCAAATCAAGGATAGATAATCATTTAGTATCGTGTAGAGTGAGCATTCCAACTGAGTATATTACATCTGTTGGGAACACAGCTGAAAATCTGTCCTAGAAGCCTAGGTACCAAAATCACACCAATCACCGATAACAATTTGCTACATACAGTAGAACCTTGATTATCCAGGATAGTTGGAAGAAGTGAGACCACAGAAAACTGAAAACCACAGTTAATCCTTAATTACCTCAGTTCGGTTTAAAATCACAGCGCCCTAAAAATTACAAAAAATTTGCTAATCACTCTACTACAATAAGTTACGTAAAGAACAAAAACAAAACAGAAAGTCTAGTAAGCTACGGCTAGTGATGGATTACCGGTAAATGCTGTTTCAGAACAGAGCATTATGTTCCTGACTCATGTAGTTGAAAACAAATCCTATTGGAGACAATAAACATTGCACAACTCATTAAAAGTATAAAATAATCTAAATATATAAAAGGCAAAGCCCTCACTGACTGACTCACTCACTCACTCACTCATCACTAATTCTCCCATTTCCCATTTACCTAGGAGGCTGAAATTTGGTACACTGATTCTTTAGGCATTGAATAGGAAAACTAAGTTGTTTTTATTCTGATCGGACTCTCGGGCTCCGCCCCAGTGGCTCTGGAGTTTCCCATGTTAACCTTATGAGTACTCGTATTTAAATAGAATTAATGAATCTTAACAGCTGTTTCGATTAAACAAGTTGGTTCTGTTCTATGATGTTCAATAGCAATTAAGTTACAAGGATTACCAACAAGGTGCAGCACTATTTTTTTTTTAATTTATGACAACAGCTAATTTGCAACCAAAAGGTGAGTGAGCGTAGCGAACAAACTTCAACCTGGAGCCGAGTTAGCGTAGCGAACGAGCTAACCTGAAGACAAGTGAGCGCAGCGAACGAGCTCCAACCTAAAGGTGAGTGAGCGTAGCGAACGAACTTCAACCAGGACGTGATTGAGCCATGCGAACAAGCTCACTTATGAAGTTAAACGGGGCGAAGCCCGCGGGTACAGCTAGTAGTACATAAAATAATAACAACACTCAAGGTAGAGATAACAATGACATAAAAAAACTTGTTATTCTTTTTCTTTTGGTACTTTTATTTCTTGAGTTTCTCTTCATCCACGCATTCAACAAGTTGCCATGGTTAAGAAATTTCAGTTCTGGGGGCGAGCATGCCACTTGGGGTGGTTATAATATACAAGACCGAGAATCTAAAACCGCCCAGACCCCAATTTTTAAGGACCTCGGTCGTCTGTAATGACGTCATCAAGATGGCGGCTGTTAGAGGATGCAGGGTCGCCATGAATTGGTTATAACAACACCCAAATGTCAGAACCGATTTTAATTAAATTTAGCATACAAGTGCTTGAATACATTATCTCGACCCAGGTTGTCAACGGTCGAGTTTGAACAAGTCGTCTCATAGTGGCGGCCGTTAATAACTAAAATAATAAAAATGCTTCAGTGTTTTGTTTTCTCAGCTTTTCCAGAGATCTGGCAGCAACCTTTTCATTTTCCTTGCAATCACAGGTTGTGATGCCGTCTCTGCATTTCATGAGATAGGCAAAATACCCCCACCACAGCAAACCTGCAGACTAAGAAAGTTTCCATTTGCCTGATACGATTTTCAATTAAATCTATTTCAATAACATTAGGTTTCTTGAGTACCTAGGTTTGCTGCTACAAGGAGGGTAATTAAGTGAGTTTTTATATAATCCTTATATATAATACTTGAAGGTATTTTCTACGAAACACTACTCCTCCGTCAATAATGGATGGATTTTTACAAACGATGTGTCAAAATTAAGTATTTTTTGTGTAGACGCCCCCTTTCACCGATTCCTGTCATAAAAGTCTTCGGGCTTTGCCCCACAGGCCATCAAAATCCCAATGTATTTCTTATGATAAGATTTTGTTTACTTAAACAGACAAATAATTTTTATTAATTACAGCTGTTCATATTAAACCATGATACACACACAAGAGCGAGTGAGTTGATTAAGAAATTATGACTGTTATTAGTTTTTAAATAACGCCTGTAATACTTTGCAATTGCTCGAATTCGAGCAACAGGTGCACTAGTAATATATTAATAGCTTAGTTTAAACAGTACAGTAGACCCCCTATTAACCGACTCTAATCGGACCGGACCTAGGTCGGATAACTCAAAAGGTTGGTTAAAACGGGCGATCCCTAAAATCATAACACGATGAAGTGCTATTCATTTGGAATTATATAATCATTATTTTGAAGCCATACTTACATTATTTATAAAATAAACTACTCTTATCTCCTTTTTTGTATTGATAGAAAAGTTACAAATAAACACAAAACATGGTTAACACTCTTTGTGCTGTCGACATGTTTGAACATAAAAGTTGCATTTATTTCAATGTTAAGCAATTGCGGGAATTCCCGCCATCAGCACCCAACGTGTTAAGCCAAATAGGCCTACTTTCAGTGGTATATATTATAGTACTATGCAAGAATCAATAAAAATTCCAATTTTAATAACTTTAGTACTGTAATGTATTGATTGATGCTTTCCAAATCCATCGTAATACAGTACAGAACCTTTTGTCGAAATTAAAGATACAAGCAACCATTTTGTTACAAGACAGGATGTTTATTTATAGCCTCTCACTGGAGGCTCGAGGCACAAAAACTATCTTGACCTTGGAGTTGTTAACACCCCTTCCCTACCCTCCCTACAAGTTGCGTTGTTTGTTTACTCCAGCGATAAGATAATCAGTTCTCAAAATCGTAACGCACTTTACGATATTATTAATTTTCTGCAAAGATAACAAACTGGCAATATGCTATATTTTTTGTGATCAATACAAAATTACTTATTCTTAGTCATATCCTATGGAGATAAGCGTATGGTTCAGTTCTCATCGCCCAGCGTGGGAGTGGAATTGCCGAGATTCCTAGAAAGCGGCGGTTAAACCAAACTTCTCTCAAAGCAAGGTCGGTTAAAAAAAACTGTATTATTTTACAATCGAAGGCGGATAATCCGATTATCGGTTGATACTGTTGTAATGTCTAACTTACATATTCACATTGCCTGCCTAATTTGTTATAACATATGGTTTATGTTATATTTCTATATTGTTATGAGTTTGTTTATAGTTGACTTGTTTACATTCAGTATTCTATCTTATTCCCAATTAAATTAGTTTCATGTTAACTATCTAAATTATTTTATATAATCAGAGTAATTACCGCTGCAGCTCAACTCTGCTATTTCTACAACATCAGGTTATGGGCCTCTTGTTTACTGATTTTTAATTTCTCTAATTATTTGGTCCAAGTTCACCAACTTTGAAAATGTATCAACCTCCTTCAATAGAGAAATTGAAAGGCCGTGAAAACTATGATACATGGAAAGTTGCCGTTCAAGCATATTTGGAAGATTGTGAGCTCTGGGACTGTATTTTGGGAACTGAAGAAGATAGAAAGAAAGTGACAAAATGTAAATCCAAAATTATCTCGCTAATTGATTCAGCTAACTATGTCCATGTTCAATCAGCAGAAACAGCCAAGGAAGCCTGGGAAAATTTAGAAAAGGCATTTTCTGACAAGGGTTTGACCCGAAGAGTTGGTTTGCTGCGATTGTTAACAACAACAAGGCTAGAAAATTGTAAGTCCATAGAAGATTATGTCAATCAAATTGCATCAACAGCCCACAAGCTAACCAACATTGGTCTGAAAGTGGATGATGAGTGGGTAGGAACAATTTTACTTGCTGGACTACCGGATCAATTCCAACCAATGATCATGGGTATTGAAAGTTCTGGTGTCAAGATAACGGCTGATTCAATCAAAACTAAACTACTTTAAGATGTATCCGTGGAAAATGAATCTTCCAAATGCATTGCGATGTACGGTTATTGTCGAAGAGAAAATTCAAAACCAAGTTTTCAGAACAACCAAAGACACAACACTTCAAGCCAAAAGAAACCCACTGATGACAAGAAACGTCAAGATAGCAAAGGTTACAAGGGTCCTCGATGTTTCCAATGCAACGGTTATGGTCACATATCAAGGAACTGTGACAAATCCAGGAACATCAGCACGAGAAATGAAAGAGACAGTTGTAAGTCTAAACAGGACAATTCACTCTTTGCTGCCTTCTCAATGCCAACAGATGTAAGTAATGATTGGTATCTAGATTCAGGAGCTAGTGCTCATTTATGTGTTGACAATGTGACACTTGAAAATAAAAGGAAATCTCCACAATTGAGTATTACCACCGCTAATAATTCCACTATGGTAACTGACACAATTGGAGATGCAAACCTTTCTGTACATATTTCAGGTATTTCATCAGATGTTTAAGTTCAAAATGTATATTATGTTCCTCAGTTGAATGTAAATTTACTGTCTGTCAGTCAAATTGTGAGCAAAGGAAACACTGTGATTTTTGACAACGAAGGAGCTCAGATTTTCAATAGTGACAATGAAGTAATTGCCACAGCTTCCAAGGTCAACAACTTGTTTAAATTAAATGTTCAACCATCTTCAGGCACAGCCATGACTGCAAAATGCAATGATCAAATTCTCTGGCATAAACGTATGGCTCACCTGAACTATGACGATCTGACAAAATTGTCAAATGGCTTGGTGCATGGAATTAATCTATCTGATAAAAAGCCTGACATTCCTTGTGAATCATGTGTACTTGGCAAAAGCCACCGACTACCTTTCCAACCAAGTAGCAGTAAAAGTAGTGAACACTACATAAGTAGGGTACACTCTGACTTGGTTGGACCGATGGAAGTAAATTCTCTTGCTGGTTCTAAGTATATTCTTACTTTCCTAGATGATTTTAGCCATAAAACATTTGTTTATTTCTTGAAGACAAAGGATCAAGTTTATGAAACATTCA